TTTTGGTTTTTCGAGACAGGGTTTCTCTGTGTAGCTTTGCGCCTTTCATGGATCTCGCTCTGCAGACCAGGCTGGCCTCGAACTCACAAAGATCCACCTGCCTCTGCCTCCCGAGTGCTGGGATTAAAGGCGTGTGCCACCACTGCCCGGCGAGAAACCCTGTCTCAAACAAAGAAAACAAGGAGACACAGGGCAGGAGCTTCGCTCAAACACTTCTTTTTAGGAAGTCTGGTGTGTTAACATGTTCACCAGAGATGCCATTAAGGATTGCAGCATCAACTCCTAGAAACACAAGGTCACCATAGTCAAAACTAGGTAGCTTGAAGTGAATGTGCCGAGGAGCCAGAGCTCAGCATCACGGGGCCAAGAACGGTACTTTAGAGCCAGCTAGAGTTCAGGGGTCAGCACATCTAACAGACAGGGAAAGAGGAAAGATGTGAGAAAATGCGAAGGCTTGGGTGCGTATGTCTGGAGTTTGGGGACCAGGACCCATTACACCGGACCTAAGCCCGGCATTTACTCCCCTGCGCCTTTCCCCGAAACAGTGGGGCGCTCACCAATGGCAGTGCAGAAGCCAGGGGTGGAGCAGAGAGGGATGGGCAGAGAGAAGCTGGTTCTAGTTGTATGTAGGCAGGACTCCTGGTGCCGGGCATGAGTCACATGGGACACTGAAGGGGCAACTCCTGTCCCCCGGCGTCGCTGGTATTCAGGCTGGACGCGCTCTTCAGTCTGCAGGCTTACTGAAAACTGGGAGCAAGAAGTGAGGTGTAGAGCAGCAGACATTCGGAAATATGGACTGTAGGTGAGTGGTAGCTCTGAGGAACCCCGATTTCCACTTCTACAAAACACCCCTCTTTATGCAGGCCCCCCTTCCATCCCAGCCCTCCAGGCCGAGCGCAATAAAAGCCGGTCCCTTCTCACCTGCAAACAAGCCACAGTTCCTTCCCCTAAGTTTAAGGTCCCCACCACGTCCTCGCCCAGTCTGTACACAGATTTGAAGATACCAAATGTCCCGACTTTCCCTCGGCCATCGCTGATATTGTATAGATCTGGGGAGAATAGATATCAAAAGGCTACAGTTTACGCTGGGGAAAAATCTAGACTGAGTCTCAGAGGCCAAAACATGAGACTTTTCTTTATAACGGGGGCAAGATATTAGGGGACCATGAAGGGATGTGGTAGACAGGAGACTTTTTCAGACAGGAATACACTAAGGGAAGGGCTGGATCAGGGCAGTTCTGAAAGGATTCTCACGGAGACTGCGGCAGGAGGTGGCAGCCATGAGGCGCTCCCCAGCCAGCTCAGCTAGCCATGAATCCTTCTTCCCACTCTCATCCTCCTCTAAGAACGGACTGGACGGAGCCACAGCCTCATCTTGGGGAAAGTGGACATCCTGAAGACCTAGAGAGAACGAGCAGAGGGGATGCTGGGAGGAATCAGAGATGTGAGCAGACAGCTGGTTTCAGAGTCCAGCCTGAGGAGGGTGAAGGGGAGCCATGCTTTAAGGTCGACGTCTCGGCTTGCTCCCCACTCATCCCCAGCACTGTCCCTAACGCCGCCGCCGGGAGTCCCGACAGGTCCCCTTGGCTAGCCTCTGCCCCCACCCTCCCTCTAGGAACCTGACTCACCAGTCAGCACAAGAACTCTCAAAGGGACTCGGAGTAAAGTGATGGGCGAGTTGACGCGCTGGCAGCCAATGGTCAGTTTGTAGACGTACTTGACCGACTGACCCCGAAAGGAAGGCGGACCCTCCGTGGGCAGCACTTCACTGTAGGAGTCTGGTTGGGAAAACAGCAGTCAGGGCAGCTGGAGGCAGCAGGGTCCTCCCTCCAGGACACTTAGACGGCAATTCCAGGCTGGAGGGCAATCACTCACATGATTTGGACTCTCCAGGGTCAAGCCTCAAGTCACAAAAGAGAATTTTTGGTGGAGTAGAAAGGATGCACTGACCCCTCTCACCTATGAAAAATAAGAAAGACTGCAGTTAAATGACTCCACTGCCCATTACTGACCAGAGTCACACAGCAAGTGGAGGCAGGGAAAACCGCCATCTTTCTGTTGTAATATGGCAACAGTCTGGTAATACGGCCCCCAAATCAACAGTTAAGTACCTTCCCCTACACCTGTGGTGTGTTGGTGACGACATCACGTAAAACTTAGCTTTACCCCTGGGTGACAATGACTTCCCCTCCCTCCAAGACAAATACTCTCTCTCTCACCTCGGTGCGGCAGGAAGACGGTCTGGCTGTCAGGCTGCACATCTGGCTGGCTGGAGTCAGGGGGAGGCAATGCTACTCGACTCTCGCTGGCATGGAACTGGCAGTGGATCTGGGCACTGGCCCAGGCCAGAGCCTCACTGTGGAAGAGGAAAAAGAGGGGATGGGAAGACAGTTCCTGACTTCACAAATGCTGTCCCTCCGATACTGTCTGACCAGACCACCAAGGTGAGATGACTGTCTCGTGACCAGGGAATCCAGAACCCCCAAAGTGAAACCATCACACAATGCAAAGTGCATCCAGTTCAAAGAGGGAGGAGGAGGAGGAGAGGCGGGTAGGGGCCATGGCATCCGCATCTTTGTGGAAAAGCCCTTCCCTACAATGAGCAAGGAGGAGGTGACGATAGCGCAGTGACAGGACAAGCAAAGCTCTGATTTAGAAGGAGCGAACGCCACCACCTTCAGTGCCAGCATCCCCACCTGGATGCAGAAGTGGCGGTCGGGGGCAGGGGATTAGTGACAGTCACTAAACATTCCAGAGCCTCCCCCGCCAGAAATACAGGACCTCGACTCAGCTCGGCCACCACTTCAATCATGGCAGCTCCAGAACCAAATCTAGAAGGAAACACACAGTGCCACAAGTCAGTACCGTGGAAAGAAGAAGTGGTGCCTGGGACCTAGAGTTATGTCTCGATCTGGGTCCCAGGGGGCAAGAAGTAGGGTTTTTCCTTTCGGTGCGGGTGGGAAGCGCTGGGATTTGGGGAGCTGCGGGCGGATTGGATGGGCGACGGATACCGACTCTACTGCCTGCGTGAGGGCGTCGCTCTTGCCCAGACCTCTCCGAGTCCAGAGTCGGACTAGGCCCCCTGCGCCGCCACCCACAGGCTCCCAGGCCTGCCTCTGTGCCCGCTTCCCTCCAGGCTCCACATCCTAGCCCAAGACACCGCTGCGCGTCACAACTCTGGATACAAACGCGGACTCTTACGGATGGAGGTCCTCACCTGCCCGCCCCTCCGAGACGCGGCTTGGAGATCGGTGGCGTCCGCGGTACCAGCGGCGCGGCAGAGGCGGGACTTCCTTTGTCACACTGCAGCGTTGGGGCACCCCTTCCGGTCCGACCTGTGGGGTGCTTCCGGCCGGAAGGGGCTCGGGTGGTCCCTGGGCTGCGGGTCACCCTCCCAGCGGTGGCACCTGAGCGCGGGCGCTGGGGATCCCGGCCGGAGGGACCCGGTACCCAGCCCTGGAGACCCTGGAGCCGCGGCCCGGGGCGGGGCCGAGGGTCGCCGGGAGCTCCTGGGCGGGTCCCAGGGGCGGTGCTTCGCGGGCAGGTACCGCGGCTCCGCCCCCGTCCGCCGAGCCGGTCGGCCTTCGGCCGGGCGAGCTAATCGCCGCGGCCCAATGACAACAAGGCCCAACCCTTCCAGCCTGGGATCTAGAGACGCGACCCAAGAGAGCCCGCGGCTACTTTATTGCCGTGGCCACTGCCACTGCAGCCAGAGCTCCCCGACTTTACCGGGACACCAGCTTCCTCCGGCTTTCC